CTCGGAAATCGCGGTCTTTTGAAGCGTCGGCTGCCGTTTGAAGCAACACTTGACTTGGGCCATCGACAGAGCAGAAAAACATAGCAAAAACATTTGTGTATAAACGAAACAGCAGCAAAAAAATCATTAAGATTCATTATTTGCCAAACATTTTTTGCTTTATTTTGTATTTCGTTACTGATTGAATTTTATGGTTTGAATTCCAGGAAAACGAAAGCAAATGCATGCGGGTCTTGATAATTAAGTATGTATGAAAAGCATCTATAGAAAAAGAGCAAGAAAAGTTCTACACATTTGTGCCTTTATAAGTACTTGACTTTGGAAAACAATAGATTGAAAAGAATGAATTAAAGTCGGCAAGACTGATTGATTCAGGATTATTCACTTGATTATTAAGTCAATATTGTTTTTTATCTATATTCAACTCAATAAAGTCTTTCTAAAACACAATTCTAGGTAGTTGCATTTTGGTCAGCGCTGGGGTCGTCTAATCCGATTGTCCATACACTCTGATCAATGAATGGAACCGTCATCTCCGTCACTTCGGCATGTCTTTTCACGCCAATGGCTCAAGGTATCGCATTCAACGCTTTTGGACTTCGTACAATTCCCTTGGCGATCGAAAATCGTCAGTGCGACAAAAATTGCTGAAAGTTTTGTATAGAACGCGACTTGAAACCCAACAGCAAAAGCAGAGTAAGCAAAAAAATAAAATAAAATATATAAAAAACAAGATGAGCCGAGGCTAAAAACTTGTCGAGCACATTGGCAACTGCATTGAAACATTAGCAGTGATGACATTTTTGCGGTCGCTCAGCTCCCTATGCTCTGCCCCTGGTTACCGCTCCCGTCTATCAGTGTCTGCGCCTGCGATACGTCTGCAGCCGCTTTGTTTTGGGCCGTTGGCTTTTAAGCCTTAGCTTTTTGGTTTGTTGGGTTTTGGAGTTTTTGCTGGTTGCAGGAAATTCCTGAAGACGCGACACTTCATACATAATAAAAGTGGATCGCCGATCGACGCGTCGATCGCCTTTCGTCAAGAGTCGCCTTGTCGAACACTCGATCCGCTGCACATTGGGCCAAGGCTCAAGCATTGACCAAACGCTGGACTTGGAAATGGGTTTGGGGCTGGGGTTGGGGTTCGGGCTTGGGTTTTGGGTTTTGAATTTTGGGCAACGTATTTGTTGAGCCACCACGACGGCATTTGTAGGGCTTTGTTGGCTTATTAATTGTAGCCTTAGCCTTGGACTTGCACTTGGATGCTGACGTAAGGACGTGGATATCTGGCTGGGTTTTTGTTCACAAATGAATGCACAAATTTCGGACAGCCGCCTGCGGTTGGAGCCACAGACAGTATGACGCTCGATCGAAACAACACAAAGCCGCAAAAAAAAAAGGAGATCCAAGCAGCTAACTCGTATTCGTATTACTCAGGCGAGAGCGCGGCTAATGAGCCTGGCGAGCATCCTTTTTTGTTTGGTCGAAACTGGAACCCAACCAACCAACCAACGAACCGGGCCAGACAAACAGACACCCAAAACCAGTTCGGCTTTTTGACTTAATGCCTATAAAATTATAGGTCTCCCAGCCCAACTGGAAAATTGTGTGGGGCGTTGCTGTAGAAATTAATACAAATGCAGCAAGCACAAAGCATTTTCTTTTACCTTGCCTCTCTTAAGTGGAAAATGCTCAACAAATAAGTATTCAAAGGAAAAGAAACAAAACCAAACGAAATGAAACGATGTCTAACAGCCAACACGCCCCAGGCAATCACGCAAAATGCCAAATTACATGTAGCTACCATTAACAGAACGAAATCATCTAACACGCAGAGCCTCCAGCTTGGCCGGGGCTACAGCACAACAGAAAAAAGTCATTTAAGGTGGTTTTCACATGCCGCACACGAGCCCAGACCCGAGCACGGACCTGGTCCCAGGCTCGCCCAGTTGCCAGCCCAATATTTCAGCATATTTCGGCACGGCAATTCGATCGGGCGCAGGCCATGTCCGACGCTCAAGTTTCAGGCGCAGCACACGCACAAAGCCCGACTCAGGCAACCGACACAGATCAGGCGACAATGCAGGGCAGGCACCCGCCGCAGGGGCAGTTCGCAGATCTTTAACTGTAGTCGCCAGCGCTTTGCCGCCTGCACTGCAGTTGACACTTGAGCTGGGGCGGGGGCGTCGTCGTTACCCTAAGCGGCTTACACGTGCCAGAGGCCATGCCAGTGTACGGAATAGTCTCCATATGAACACAAATGCTTATAAATAAAATGCTGCCACGTAATACGAGCGGGCCTCTCGATTTACAGGCGCTGATAGCAGAAGAGTTTCCTACAAGAGTGAGAGAAAGAGAGAGAGTCCTGCGTTGAAAGTCACAAATTTCGCGATGTTTTTTTACACACTTTAAGCACTTAGAATTTACACTTAGATTTACGACAAGTATGCACATGTAGCCCACAGCACAGAGAACACTCTCTTGAGCAGTTTACAAAACAAAAATTGGGTCGTGATGCAACACAAGATTTGCTTTGGAATAAACATGCCTATATAGAGGGCTGTTGGATGCATGAACATGTTTGATTTAACTAGCTGAAATAAACAACATCAACCGAACTCAAAGTTGATTGAAAATTAAGCGAGGTCCACGGATTTCCATATAGCTTGCTCCAGTAGATCATCTGCGAGTTGGTCAGCATCTTTGTAGGCTTCAGTTAATGCGAGCTAAACGCGTTGTCTTAATAACTAACCTCATTTCGAAAGTGAAAAAAACGTTCTGTGTACTTTTCAAATATACTTTTTTTTCATATATTTATTGGCTAACTCTTTAAACGTTACTCTGTAGTTGTTGTTTCTTAATTCTTTTTCATTTTTGTTTTTGTTTGTTGATTTTGTTTTCTTTTAATTATATTATTAGTATACATATAAATAATTAAAAATATTACATTAAAATGTATTCGTATATCGTATAGAAGTTGCTGCTTGTTTGTTTTTATATGTTGTTTGTTTTTAGTTTTTAGTTTTTAGTTTTTGATTGCGTTTTCTTCTCTGCTAGATCATTACCATAAGTTTTCATATCATGTTTCTCATTTTACAATTTTGCTAAAAACTAAATAAAATTTGTTTCGTAAAACAATAATAATAAAAATGTATGCACGAAGACAAAAAAACTAAATTTTATGCATGTGTGTATATATTTTAAAAATAAAAGCAAAAAGCGTCTCAATTATTTTTAAAATATATATTTACGTATATATTTGTTTGCATTATTTTCATTATTATATTTACTTGTGTTATATTTTTATAAAATATCACCTAAAGCAATTACGTATTTCAGTTTCAGTTTGTATTTTGTTTTTTTTTTTCGGTTTTCGTTTTGTTTTTACATGACAACAATAAAAAATTTTCGCTTTGTTTGCAAAACACTCAATACTCAAAACTAATTATAAGAAAATTATTAAACAAAGTGTTCAACAAAATGCAAAAGCCCGCAAAAATCATAGGAAACAATTCGTTGCAGCCAATTTTTGCAACAGTTTATATATATATATATATATATATATATATATATATTTGTAGTATATATATTTTTTTATTTAGATATTTTTTTTGTTAGTTTTAGTTTTATTTTTTTTTTTTTTTAACTAAAAAGCAACTAAGATCGCTTGGCCACAGATTTATGCTAAAATTATTTATATTATAATTACAGCATTAATTCATTTCGTATGGTTTTTGTTGTTTTGAATTTTTTTCTTTCCATTTTCATGAGACAAAGTACAACAACTATTTTTAAATTTTTTTTTTTAATATAATGTTTTTTTTTTTGTTTCGCAAATATAACTATTTGCAAGATTTTTATGTGTTTCGTTTATTCTTAAGTTGAAAAAATAGTACAAAAGCTTTGACATATTCTCAGTTTTATTAGTTTGTGGTTTTCTTTCACTAATAAACCAGTTGGTTTATAGTCTACTTGTAAAGTTTAAGTATACAAATGACTGCCCATATAGCTGGACTGCAACCGAGTGCAGTTCCATTAAGTACAATGTTTGGTAGTTTATTGTTATTAATATAATTCTTTTTAGTATGCGTAAACTCAAAAGGTAGGAGAAAATAGCGATAGAGAAAGTGCCTAGAGCTGGGAAGAGTTCTTAGGAAATTAGTTAAGGGGGTTTAGGTTTAGTTTTAGTTTAGCTTAGCATACCTAATAATACGTAGCCTTCCGTTACGGATACTAAGAACTATATAACGTACATTAAGTTAGACCGCTATAGTATACATAGAGTTGAAAGGGTAGGGAGTGGGGCGCCCAACCGCATCTAGTTGCAGTTGCAGCTGAAGTTGATTTGGGTTTAGGTTTGGGTTTGGGTTTGGGTTAGGCCTAGTCTAGTTGTAAGTATGATTGGGATAGTACAATGGGATTATCTTATTCCATCTCTTAACTGCTGTTTTTTGAGCACCAAAATCTGCGCTGCTCTACATACGTAGATACGTACTGACATATTTATAATTGTTGATAGTTATTAATTACATGTATTTTTAATAATAGTATCGCGTTTAGCATTTTACGTATTTACTTGTATAGTTAAAAATTTTGCTTAATAAATGCTTAAAGTTTTTTTTTGTTTTTGCTGATCTTGAATTATAACCTAAACAGTATCCCGTTCATTACGTATATTAAGTTTTCGCACGGATTCTAGCTCATTTAAAATGTCATCGTATATGCGCGTTTCAACTCTCAATTAATTAAATTAACTTTAATCTGTTTTTTTTCTTTTTGTCCTTCTTTTTCTTTAAACAATAATAGAAAAACATATGTTTTACTTTATGTTTTATTCGTATACTTTGCATTTGAACTCAGGTTGATTTTTCTTTTATTTATCTTCTTATTTACGTATATGAGTTGCACTTGGTTCTCCATTCTCTTCAAGAACGCATTGAAATAAGATTTATAAAAGAAAATAAAAAAAAAGTGAAAGTCTTACAAAAAAAAAGACTATAAATTTGTTTATATTTGTTCTTTTTTTTGGCAAGGTCTTTTAGTGTTGTAAAACACGTTGAAAAAGGACGTATTGAAAAATCGTATACACGTTGCTGAAGTAAATAATATTGAAAAGCCAACCAAAAAGAGAATACACTTTTCTTAAAGCGTTAATTTTTTGTTTTTTTTTTGTTTTTGTTTTTTGTTTTTAACTTGTAAGCAGCCTAGGCTTTCGTAGAACTACATGCTAAAGTTATATTTTATTATAGTTTATTTTTAAAGAACTTTGCTTGTAGATAAATTTATGCTTTTCTGCTGCGACACCCACCCAAGCACACACACGCACACACACGCGCGAACTCTCACACACACACAGAGCGAATTAAAAGTCCGCTTCGTGCTTGATGCGATAACTGGCATAGGTTTCTTCCAGCGGCGCAAAGTCTTGGGTGTGGGGCTGTGTTTAAGTTCCAAAAAGAAAATTGGCACCAGAGTTGTAATATAGAGAAATGGTCTTTAGATATAATAGTTCAAGAGATAATATTGTGTGCTTCTGTTACTGTAACTATGTCTGTGTTTGGTTTGTGGAGGGGCTTGTTGGCAATATTTACAAGTTTACAAACTCAAAACGATAACGTCGATCGTCTATCGGAAGTTTTCGACGCAGTTGCAGCTGCCGACTGACTGTACCCGGGCAAAACGATGCCCCTGCAGAGTCAGGGCCATGCATATTAGACTATCTTTCATATCATATTAATATATAATATATAATATTTATGTATATAGTTTCTATATAGAGTTATGTGCATATGTAAATTGTTAAAATTGGTTAGTTTTGGGTTAGTAAACTTTCTTGTAATATAATATTTTGTTTTTTGTTTTTTTGTTTTTTTTGTTGTATTTTAAATTTTTGTGTTATTAAGTAGTGAAAATAATAAAAAGTTGTTAAATGTTTTTAATAATAATTAATAATATATTGGCGAGCTATATGGGCCTCTTGCAAAAACGAAGTACTGGAACTTTTACTTATTTTTTCTCTTTTGCATAGTTTTCTTTAGTTGTTGGTACTTTTTACAAATTAAGCAAATTTTTTGCGCTAATTATTGTTGCTCAGTTGCTGTATCTTCTTTTTTAAGTAATTTACAAGTTGAATGTATTCTATTTTTGTCTCCACAAAGAGAGCACAAAAATAAATAACATGACTTATGTTTTGCATTACTTTGTTTTTCGTTTTTAACTTAAATTTATGGCTCTCATTTTACTGTACAAAAACAGACAAATTCTAACGGCCAAAGCATCAGCATCAGCATCAGCAGCAGCAGCAGATGCAATTGCAGTACCCAACAGCAGCGCTCAGCAGCAACAACAGCAGCAGCAGCAACAGCTGTCGAAGTTTGGTTGGTCGGACCCTGGAATTTGGGCGTCTCAATCGCCTCACGGCCGCTTGGAAGCTCGTTTGTAGTAGTTGTTGTTGTTGTTGTTGTTGTCAACGTATTGTTGTTGTTGTTCTTGTCGTTGTCGTTGTCGTCGTTGTCATCGTCGTTTGGCCGCTGGCGTTGAGTCCTTGCAGTTGTTGTTGTTTATACGTGGACATTGCTGTTGTTGCTAGTGCTATCGCTATTACTATATAGTTGTTGTTGATGTTGTTGCTTTTGCTTTTTGCTTTTTGCTGCTGCAATTGCGTTCGTTAGAAATTTGCGTATTTCTTTCTCATTTATTATTTGCTCTCTTGTACTGTATTTTGTAATTCTCTTGACTAATTTACAATGTGTGTGTGTTCTTGTTCTTGTTCATAATTACGTACAACTTCTTCTGCGTTTTTTGATTGGATTTTATTCATCAATATTATTATTATTGTTATTGTGATCTTCAAATAATCATTGAGATTATTGTTTTGCATCATGTTTTGTTGTAGTTTTGCAAAATTAATTAATTTTACTTAATTTCTTATGCAGTTTCGCAACATTCTTATTTTTGGTTATTATTATTGATTCATTTAATCCCAGGGCATTGTGAGCACCCGCTTCGTTTTTGCAAGAAGGTCGTTATCGTACTACGAACATGGGTGCACCACCGCATTGTAGCTCGCCAATATAGGACCATGTGCTCCCGCGAAGGGGGTACTCACAACGTCTGGTGTACTAGCTCCATCGGTGTGCGATGTTGAATCGGCATTACTTCTTCCTTCACCATTTGCTGAACCTAATTCTGGTGGTTTGGTGGTGTCCCGTTCGTCAATCACTAAATCTATTGGCATTTTACCCTTTAAACATGAGATATATCGATGACAGAAATTATCGCATAGTTCATGCACCTGCAAAGAGAAACCCGCAAATTGCCATAATTGGGGCGGCGAGATAAAAGAGAAAGAGAGAAAATGTTGTGTGAGAAGAGCGACGCCATGACAATTATACAATTATACGTATGTGCAAATAAACAATATATATATATATATATGTATATAGCTTAAGTATTTATATTATACTAAACTAAAAACAAAATATATTCATTTGAAAATGTTTCTTCTTACTCTTATTTATAAATACAATAGAGGTAAAAAATAAGTTATAGAACTATCGATAGAATGTATCTATTAATTCTTGTCGGTTCGGCAAGTTCACATATTCTATCGATAGTGTTAGAGGGGTAAGTATCTATAGCCTTTCATCTCTATAACTTACGCAAATAATATGCTACATAATCTAATCAGGCATTGCAATACGTTTTCGCCTAACTCATATTCTACATTCGGGACTTCATTAGGCATTCTGTTGGTTTATAAGACATTCAACTTGACAGACAGAGACAGCTGCAAGCACTTAGCGCCATTGCATTCTTTATGCTAACAGCAACGCAACAACACGACTGACAATAACAACAACAACGACAGCAACAACAAAAAAGAAAAAACCTGCTTTGCTCCCGCTGCAAATGGCATGCAAATTGCTTTTTATGCGTTATCCATGGCCTGGCTCTGGACCCGGGCCACGCAAATGGTTGATGATGGCACTCAAAAATGGCGTAGACAACGTCAGCAACAGCAACGGCAACAGCAATGGCAACAGCAACAGCAGCAGCAACCGCTAAGCTTAGAAGGTGTACGCGCTTGCAGGCGATAAAAATGCGAGGCCGGCCACATAAATATGCATAGAGAGCTGGCTGGCCAAAAGCGTTGGTCGGAAAGGAAGTGCTGGCCAGCCAAGTTTAGCCGCAGGGCACACTTTTAAGCAAGCAACAGCAACAGCAACAACAAGCAGCACGTGCAGCATACAGACGATCGCTGGCGTCACCAGCAACAGCAGCAGCAAACGGGCCAACAAAATGCGTTTTTAAAGCCCTGCTGTTGTTGTGTTGGCTGGATCCAAAAACTCAGTCCAGTGTATGCGTGAGTGTGTGTATGATTAAACAAATGCGATAAGGCCAAAGTGAGTGTGAGTCAGGCGGAGCGCATATGCAAATATGCAAAAAGGCTGCGCACCAAAGAGGAATGCAGCCGCCGACACGGCTAAAAAGAAATTAATTGCGCTGGGCTCGAGCAGCCAGAGCAACAGCAACAACAGCAACACCAACAACAACAACAACAACCAACAGCCCAGCAGCAGCAGTAACTGCAACAACCAACAGGGTGCTCCATTTAAACGGGCAGGCATTTAATTTACGAAAAAGTGCGCGTTGCTTATGCAAATTGCTTGTTGCTGTGTTCTTGCAACGGCTGCTGCTGCTGCTCTCGTTGCTTTTTTTTCGGCATACGAAAGCTGCAACAGTTGCTGGCGGGCGGGCTGGCTTGCTGGCTATTAACTTGTTGCCCATTGCCAAAACTTGCCAAACTCGTTTTCAGGCTGCTGTTGTTGCTGCTGCTGCTGATGCCGCCGATGTTGAAGTTGCTGCTGCCTGTGTTCAATGTTATTGTCACCAAAAATATGACGTTGATAAAAACTGGCAGCATCAACTGGTTTATGACAGGACTCAAATTAGTCGTTGCGGCTCGCTGATAACAGCAGCAGCAGCAGCAGCAACATGTTGTCGTATATGTATAGCTGTCAAAGTTGCCATAACAATGCACATAAAGCGCGCAATTAGCACGCCAGCAACATGTTGCCAGCGCGCAGTTGCAGTAGCCTGCATGTAACAACAACAGCAGCACCGCACAACAAAACACAGCACCAAGGCATAAATACTTACTAAATTGATATGTTTATGCGGCTTTATGCTCAGTTGCCTGTCTCGGTCCGGGACGGGACGTGGCCCTTTGTGGCATGTTGCTGTTGCTGCTTGCTGCTGCTGCGATGCTCGGACGCTGATAATTTTTGATTAATTTGTCAGCGTTGTGTGTGACATTTAAACAGCTCATTGCGATATTTATGACTGCTGGCTGCTGCTGTGACTGGCTGTTGCTGCTGCGCATTGGGTGGGCACAGCAGCAACTCACGACTGGGACCCACAGCAGCAACAGCAGCAGCAGCAGCAATAGTGGTGCCAGCACAGGGGGCGTTGCTTGTTGTAAGCGTTGTAAATGTTACAGTCATTTGTACATCCTGTTAAGCAAAACTTTTCACAGTCCCGTCCTCGCCACATTTTACAGCTTCCTCTACCAGCGATACGATCGCAATGTGTCCGGGCACATAGTTTTGTTTATCCCCCCCTCGCCAACTGTCTTATTGCACTATTGCACTTTGCCTGCATTCGTTTCTCTCTAATCTAATGTAAATCGCTCCAATCTGCGCAGTGGTAATTTTCGATTTCCGTTCATAGATAGCGTTAAATGTTCTATAGAGAGATGACGACTAGACCAGCTCCGACTGAGATTCACACGAAACCGACCAACTAACACAGCCTCCAGTCTCGGTTCCAGCCCCAGCCCCAGTCGCAGTCTCTGTCCCAGTCCAGCAACAAGTTTTTTTCTTTTTTTTTTATGCATTTTGTTTAACAAGCGTGCGGCAAAAAATGTACAACACTGCTGACATTTAAATGAAATGTAATTAAAAAACCCACAACAACAACAATAACAGCACTGGCAGCCGACAAACAGTACAAACTGAATCTAAACTGTTGGCAAAAATAAATATTTTAATTCAGGGAAAAAAATAGATAGAAATGTTATTCGGCTTTGAAATGTAAATGTGGCGAACTGTGAATGCGCTGCGAGCATGGGCAAACAGAAACGTTTACGGATACCCAACAAAAAGTAATTGCAAAACTGAATGCAAAATATAATGTTAACAAATGTTAATGAAAACGCTGCAAAGGGAAACAAACCGAAAAAAGTGAGAGTTGCAGAAGGATAAAGAAATGCTGCTTTGAGAATGTTGGACAATTGTAACGTTAACGGACGCGCGTCAGAGCGGAATTTCAATATAATTGCTAGAGTGTAGAAACACTTTAGTAAAGTATTTAAATTTGAATACGTACTATGTATTAATTTATGCCATTTCTATTCATTTCTTGTTTTGCATTGGAACAAATCATGTTCGATTGGAAATACTTTAAGTGTTGGTAAATTAGTGTAAGGACCGAAAAAAATAATAATAATGAAACCCACACATATTTCATTCCTCCCTATTCAAATCTCGAGTCCAGCTTGCCGTGTATTTCGCTTAGCCGAAAAATAAAATTCAGCTGTTGGTGTTGTAGCACCAAACTGGCCGAGCCATCAAAACAAGACCCCCAATTCGGTGTTGTGCTGCGCATACGTAGTGTGGTATTGGACGTAGTTGTGGTAGTTGTAGTGCCCCCATGCCGGTGCCGGTACCGGTACGGCCGCCAAGCTGTGACTGCTTACCCCCTACCGGGGTGTGTGCAACTGACCCAACGTGTGTTGTGTGTCTGTCTGTCTGTCCATCGGTCGGTCGGTCTGTCGGTCTGCTGAGGCACTGTCCCACTGCCCGTTTGTCAATTGCAATGCGCCGTCGTCGTTGAGTGTTTTTGTTTTTTTGTGTTCAGCTTTTTTTTGCATGTGACTCTGTGACGAGAATTGTCCGTGCTGGATGGGAACTGAGGACTGGGCAAATGGGGCTGGCAAACCAGTTTTGACAGACACAAGTCTTGAAGCGTCTTTTTAACTGATTCTGTGTGTTGTTTTTAGCAGCAGCAACAAATATGCACAGATACAGATACAATATATACAATAAATGTACATATATATATGTATATATAAATACATATAGACGCTTTTTGCCAGTCAGCCCGCACATTTTATTTAAGTATTATATATTTATTTTTTCTTTTTGTATTTATATTTATTTTATACACCAAAATCGCCCGCTGCATTTTGTTGGCTGCATATAAATGAATTGTATTTTTGTTGCTGCTGCTGCTGTTGTCGTTGTTGTTGTTGTTGCTGTTGTTGTTGTACAAGTTGCTACAGTTCTTTGTGCCGATTGTTGGTTGTTGCCGTTGCCGATTGTTGGTTTGTCGTGGTTCGTGTGTGTCGCAAGCTGTGTGAGTGACAAATGACAAAACAAAAACCTGTCGTGGGCTGTGTGCTCTGTGCTGTGTGATGATGATAAAGATCTCGTTCGCTTCACTACTCCTCTGTTTGTAATACAGGGTGCCACTTGCAACAAATTGCAGCTGGCTGACTGGCTGACTGCCTGACTGACTGAATGAGAATGATCAGCCAACTGACTGACTGAGTGACTTGACTTGACTTACTGCACTACTTTCAATAGAAAGCGCTTTATGCAGTTGGTAATTAAGATTGGCCAACGTTAATTGCACATTGATTGACTTTTGTTGTTCGTATTTGTCATTGTTGGCATTTTGTCATTAGTCCCAGTTCCAGTCGCAGCCCGAACACAACTGTAAATGACTTCGTGGGCCTACACAACATGTCTCGAGACCCGAGAGCTGCCCAAATGGATCGGCTTCGTATTCTTATAACGTTTGCATGCGTTCTGATTGTTGTTTTTATAATGCTTTGCATAATTTCTTACTTAAGACTTAATTGAAAAACACAAAAAAAAAACAAACAAAAAAACAGATGACTGGCTTAGCTCAAAGCCCGACTCAGCTTCGTTTTGGGCTTCAGTTTGAACTTCAGCTTCGGTTTCAGTTTCGGTTTTTGTTCCCGGCCCAACGGTCGACGCTCCACGCTTCGCTGCGCATTTGCCTAATTAATTTTCTTGGCACAGCAGCAGCAACAGCAGTGGACAGTGAACCAGCGGTGGAGGCAGGGCGCAGGCATTAATTACGACCACGTTGAGGAACAACTTCCATTAAGACAGCCGCCGCACACACACGCACCCAAGCTAGTCAAGCTCTTGCATATTATTTGAAATTAAAACAAATTAGGCAACCTGTAATTTTTCCATTTAGATTATAAAGTGTCCAATAATAAAGTAGGTGTTGCTAGTTGCTGCATTCCCAAAATTATATATGCGCGTCTAGGGTTGTTCAGACAGACAAAGAGCGAATGAGAGGGATGGGGGCATCCACACCTCATGAATTAACAACAAAGCAGCGCCGAAAATGAATGCGTTCCATTGTGCGTTGCTCAATGCAAATATCGTGGGCTTTTGAGCACCATCCGCCCCACCGAGCTGCTGTTGTTGTGGTTAGTATCTTGGGCAAACACCTGCCCTTAGCGTCTGCTCGCAACCCCGCCAGGTCAGCAAATATTTGCCCCCCGCTCGCTCCTATCTCGGTTTGTTAATGCTATGTCACATCCTGTCGGTCGGCATATTTCTGTACTTATCTCTATGTAAAGCTATGCAAGCGGCTTTCATGTTACAATTTTGATTGGCAATTAATGCAGTTTTGGCCACGGCCAGCTGCACGGCCAGCTTCACAGTTGTTGCAGTCGTTGTCAATGCTGTTGCTGCTGCTGTTGAGCTTTAATTTAGACATTTGCAAGAGAGATATGACCGCCTGCTGTGTATGCCTGTGCCTGTGTGTGTTTGTGTATGTATGTGTTTCTGTCTCCAATTGGAGCCTGCCTACAAGCTCAATAAAATGTCAACACAAATGTTGGCAATTGAAATACCCGCCATTTGGTAACTTTGCTTATGCCATACCCTCTAAACAAAACAAACTTGGAAATGGGTATACCTAAGCTCAGCATATATGTATTCGATGCATTTTAAAAGTCTACGTTACATTCATTAAATATACTCAACTCGTCCTTCCATATATCTATCTATAAGCCTATAAGCATGTCGATCTCAGTGACTATATGAGACTGCGATTACCATGTGCAGTATTCATTGCCACATTAAGTTTATGACCTATCTTTTACTGCAGGGTATCTATCAGTATTGTCTATAGCACTCGGACTTAATTTTTTTGCAATTGATTTATGGGTTTTATGGGTGGTCGTTGGGCAGCTAGCTAGTGATAAATGTTTGTAGCTTGGCTAGCAGTTAATTGCATGACTGCTGAGTTTCCAGCTCTGAGTTGATGATATGCAGCCAGAAGAGTGGCCAAGGAGTGAGCAATAAAAGTAGCACAGATAACTGAAATTCAGTTAACAATTTGTAAAGGCTTTACAGTCAATCTGACCACATAGAAATCCGCGCAGCTATAAAGTATGATTTTTCAATTCAATGTTAAATACCCCAATTCTGCTTTGAAAATAAATACTTCATCGATGTTTGAAAACGTATTGCAATTTACCTTTAAGACAAACCAATTCAAAAAAATAAAATTAAATACTTAATTTAGACTTATGTAATTTGTAGTTATATTCATGTTTACTTACTTTTTCTAACTCTAAAAGGTGAAACCGAAGCACTTGTATTGCTTGCACCATCTGCAAAGAGAGGGGCGAGAAAGAGAGAAAGAGAAAGAATGAACAAACATGAGTTATGCATATCACATATGATAATAAAATTCTTAGCCGTAAAAAAGGCCTCCAAACAAATCGTTTGACGCCCCAGAACCATCCACACCATAGTCCACACTCACACACACACACACACACACACATGAATCGCAAGAGCGCCAACTGTTAGGGTGACCAGATGCTAATTAAAACGTCAGTTTGACATTTGACATTTTTACGAGGCTGCTAACTGGTGTGGCCGCTGCTGTTGCCGCCACTGTTGCTGCTGCTGCTGCCGCTTTTGTTGTTTGCAGCAGCTGGTGCCGGCAAAAAACTTTAAAGAATTTCATTTAATGCCAAGCCGCGGCCAACTGAACCGCATAGTAAAATAATAACATAGAGAAAACATGCTATAAACATTTTTATAGCACATCCACATAAGAGTGTTTGTGTGTGCATGCGTGTGTGCGTAAATATCTAAAGCACAAAACCGCCAAGAGTTTTTTTAAGTAAGTGTTACTAAATGCACTTTTAAATGTTCAAACATGAACTCTGTGGTGCTGGGAGGAGAAGCGGTGGTTACTCAGTCCACCACCAGCAGCAGCAGCGGCAGCAGCAGCACCGCAGAGTGGTGGCATGCCAAAATGATTTATGGCCAAAGTACGCAGGCGCACACGGCCACGGCCAGAGCCATAGCCATAGCCATAGCCGATCAGTGTAGACCAAGATACTCAAACCCAGGTCCGGGTGCCAGCTGTTTGTGTCTGTGTGTATTGCCTGTTGCTGCATGTTGGGCCCGGGCTGGCATTCAGTGAGTTTGTACTACAACTAATAAACTAATCTGCAAGTGCATAAAATTAGGGCCACCGCCAGAGATTTCTCTGCTGCGGCTGCTGATGCTGTTGCTGCTGCTGTTGCTGTTGCTGGCGACTAATACGCCATAAAACCAGCGACATTAAACGCCAGCAACAGCAGCAGCAGCATCTCTGTTGCTCTACGTGAGTGAGTGACACATTTACGACTAAGCAGAGGCCGCTGTCGAGTGGTACGAACGCAGCCGCAATTAAAATTAGTTTTGCCCCTTAATCTCTTTATATGCAGCAGCAACAGCAGAAACAGCAGCAGCAACTGTTGACGCGATTTGCGCAGCCCAATTGCATGGCTCGTTTTGCACTTTTTGCACGCAGCATTTCCGTCTTGGTTTACATGGGCTCCAAAATTGCCTGGAAATTCGCTGGATTCAAACTGAGAGGCTGTAGCGACATTCTGACTCATGTGTTGCTATGCACCAAGAAATGCAGATGCATGTTGAGCCCAGTGATAAAATATATTTCAGTTGGCTAAGCCAACACATGCATTTTTTTAGCATTAGATATGATCTGATTGATCATTAATAGAGATTGGCATAATTCACAGACTTTAATGCACTTGTTGCCCTACAACGACAGCTGATCACCATGATCATCATTGTCGCTAGCAACAACAACATCACGCCATGATCGCCGTCAAGGTTGCCTTGATGGCATTTGCCTTTGCGTTGGGGCTCTGACTCTGACTGCCCAGATCTGAATGCATTTAACTAACCCACGAGCACGACGACGACTTTATTGTTGTTGCTTTTGTTGCTGTGCTGTTGCTGTTGCTGTTGTTGCCGTCGTCTTTTGCACACCCAAAGGCTGCCCATTTAGAGAGTGCAAAAATGTCATATGCATCATTAAATCGTTCTGCTTCATATTGTAGTCGACGTCGAGCATCGGTCGTTGGTCGTTGCTTGTCTCCCCGTGCCCAGCCTCAGCCCATTTCGATTCCCATCCCCATCCTGAACCGAGGGCTGCAGTAGCAGCCGCAGCCGCAGCCGCAGCAACAGCAACATGCAGAAATCAAAATGCGTGTCAGAGAAAAGTATGGCAACGCTGTCCAATAAAATGACTAAACAACTTAGTCCGCCGCCAGTGAATGACAGCGATGACGCTATGGATGTCGATGCGGACTTGGACTTGGACGTTGCTGCTCGCTGCAAGTGAACAAACAAATGCTCATAAATTGCTTTGGCTGCTGCTAAATTTGCTGTGATTTATTCTAAATAAAAGAAAATTATTCAATTGTTGTCATTGTTTTGGGTCAAGGTGATCGCACGGACACACACATTCGCCCATACACACACACACACACACTTGGCTAGGCCGTGATCTTTTGGCTTGTTGCTGCAACATAGTTGCCGGGCGCCGTTTTGTTTACTTACCAGTGAATCCACTTCGGGATCTGCGGTATAGTAGGGTTTCTGTGATCTTATCTGAAATGAGAGACAAAGAGGGAGAAAGAGAGGGAATGAGTATAAAAGAGAAACACTTTGTATACTAGTTTCAAATCGTTGCAAATATGCATAAGCAGTGGCAGCTGTTGCTGCTGGTCTGTATGTTGCTGCTGTATGTTGCTGCTGCTGTGCGGAATCTTGACGAACGCAGGCAGGTGGTAACTGCAGCTCCGAGCCACTCCGTGACTAGGTCGCCAATGTTTTCTGTTGTCCGTTGTCCGTTGCCTGTGTCGCCGCAGTTTTATGATGCCAGCTCACAGTCCAAGCGATAAGCGCTCAGCAGGCAAATATAAACCAGGCGGCAGCAACAGCAACAACAACAACAGCCGAAACAACAACAGTAAATAGATGGTTACCAAAACCCAGCATGGGAAACGCAACATTTGCGTAAAATTTGCTGTTGCTGTTGTTGCTCATCAGAGCAGAGGTGACTCGATGACTCGCTGTGACCATAAAAGCGATTCTCGTTTTTTTATTTTTATTGCAAAAGGCAACAGAAATAAACCACACACTTAGATAAAAATCACAAAAGCAATATGAGGCTAGATAAAAAAAATGGCCACACAGACCGCGACCGACCAAAATGCGACAGAAGGTCAAATAAATGCTGCGAATTATTTGTTGATTTTATTATTGTTGCTGTTGCTGTTGCTATTAGTGAAGATTGCTGTTCGGTTCATAGCGCTTTGTTGGCTCTCACGGAACAGCATGGCCTGCCCCATGTGAGATCTGTGAGACCAGCTCGGGTTGTTCTTCAATAGATATATAGATAAACAGCAAGCACATAAAAAAGAGCTACACCCGCTGCGAAATTTTATACCGTCGCAGATCTTGAGTCGACCTTGTACTTGCGTTCATTTTTCTCTTATTCTGCTTTTGGCTTGGCAATAGACCACCCAGTTAACAAAACTATGCAAGGCTGCACTGCAAGCAGTCCTTCAGAGACAGAGATCAGATAATAGATTTGAAGGCAGATGCATAGATAAAAAAAAACTGCAATGATCTGTAAAAGATAACTGTTATGTCTTTGAACTAGACAAAGTTTACGTTTAAAGACGCCCAAAATCATTTATTAGATTTAAATTGATTATCAAACTATGTATATTAGCGAACTAGACCAAACTGTTTACCAACTACAATTTGGTATACATGAAATACATAAAAAGCAATTCCAAGCTAACCATAAACTCTAAATATCCACACATGCGGCGTCTTTCAGCTGGCAAATCTCTCTTCAAGACACGCCATACTGGACCATACTTGAGTATCGTAACGGCAATTTGGATCAACTGAGGCATAGACGACTAATAATTATGTTGCGCACTCGCACATCGAGCGTCAGATCGGATCGTTAAGGAGTTCAAGTCCAAGTCGGACTCGTTGGCCAGACATCTGCAGATATGTGGGTACCAGGCAACAATGAAACATGAGAAAAACGCCCCATTGTGAGGCGAACAGAACAACAATTACAACTGCAACAACAACAACAACAACAACAGCAACAACAATAACTGATAGAAGCCACAGCCATTGAAGAGAGTATGAAAACGTAGCAAAAGTTGCGTGTGGAGAGTTGTGCCAAAGTTGTTGCCAGTTGGCTTTAATGTTGCATTTTCAAATGCTGGTTGGTCGCTGGCGTTGCACACACACATACACGAGCACAAAAGCACTCACACATACTCACACACACACACACACACACACACATACATATATAGTTAGGTACGTGTGGAAGTTGTCAAACTGGTTTGCATGATAACTCTCCGTTTGGATGGCTGACTTGCGACCAGGTCGCGCTTTTGCTTTAGCTGATATGAAAAGCACGAGGGTCGCCGGTTTCTTTATGTAGGGGAGACATCGGGGAACTGGGGAACTGGCATATTGCACACACGCACTTCTCCGGCTCCGACTCAGTCTCAGCTAAATCAAAATGGCTGCCAGCAGATCTCCTCCGAGAGGCTCTCAGCTACTCTCAGTGGTAATTACAAGCCCAAGCCGAAGCCCAAGCCCACTGATAAGCGCTGGCCCAATGGGCAAATGAAATGCTGTTGTCTGCGATGCGGTTTTTAAAAATGTATAAATCATTGGCAACAAGCGAATACACAGCATGAGACAAGTCTATAAATAAGCCGAGACAGCGAGTCAGCAGCGGGCGTGAAAATAACATCAACATGAAATGAAAATCAAAATGAAAATTGAAATGAAAACTAAAAGGAAAATTCTATACACTGCGCCCAGTCGAGAACATTTTGTCACCACGGCCGCGTGGGCGTCTGCAGCTGACAATTTCATATTTATAGCCAACGCAAAGAAGCGTATTTTCAATTTCCAAGTAGTGTCCAATGCGGAAACCCCAAAAAGCCATACACACACCCGAACACCCCAACATCCAAACACACTCTCACATACGCACTTTAAAAATAAAATAGAAAATTGCGTGTCATGTCGCCCATGGGCTGTCCGAGTTCTTGACTTGTGCCCAACACACATTCTAATCAGTTTCACATGGGCAGCTCATAAATTTTGCAAGCAACGGCGACAAAATAAAATCACTACTGTTTAGATACTGCTCTTCAAGCGTTTTTATGATGCCCCCATAAATGCAATTATACAACCGACAGCTACAGCCACAGGCACACCACAATGTACCTGAATGGTGGGGTTTGGGTTTCGGTTCGGGTTCCGGTGGGGTTTTTCGTTTCGTTTTTGGTTTTAGATTGTCTGGCAGGGTACCGCCCCGAAAGATACACAAACGCTGTAGCAAGATCGGACCCTCGCGTAGGTGCCATAAATTGTATGGCATTTTCAAATCAAATTCATTTCATCAACCTGGCCACGTGCTATCAACCAAAAGCAGCAAGTATCATGTCATAAAAGCCAAAGTAAAACCTAATATACATGCGTATATACAAACACCAATATATACTTGGAATTATGATTCAATCAGAACTGCTTTTAATTTCTCACATGATAAATTTATAGAAATTTGAGCCACTAAAAACCGAAATAAAAATCGAAACGCAATCCACAAAAGAGCTCAAGTCTATAAAACGCCTCAAATGTTGTGCATGTTTGTATGTGTGTTTGTGTGTTGGCGGAGCAGCATTTGTTTTTGCTACGTTTTTATTATGCCAATAGCTAGGAGCTGCTCGTCCGGGTCCGCCCGCGTTTATAGCCCTGGCATTGTGCTGGCCATAAACCTGTGCGCAGTGGCGGAGAAAGAGGACGTCAGCGCAGAGGAGGGCGCAGTGTGAGCTGCAAGTGTATAGCGAAGTCTTGAGCACTTGAGTAATGGCCATAAAGCGCGCCCAGCAAACGGCCATAAAGCAATTTATGCACCCGGCCATGTCGACTTTTGGAATCAGCGTGCACAGTAGCCCAAGAGCCGGACAGCGAGCGATCACAAGCGCAAAGCCCCAAACCCCAAGCACTCGAGAAACTGCAGTGATAACAGCCGCAGACGCATCGTCATCGACTCTTCAAAAGCAACAAATGCTCGTGAGCTGGAACTAGTTCATATGAACTGACAGAATTGTGGCTCAACGCACGTTTTTCTTATTAGCTTATCTAAGCTAATGGTTTCTGTTTGTATGTGCGTCTTTGTTTGTTTTATGTGTGTGTGTGTGTGTGTGTTTTTGTGTGTGTTTGTGTGTGTGTTTTTGTGTGTGTTTTTGTGTGTGTGTGTGTGTGTGTGTGTGTAAAGGTATGTGTGTGCTTGAATGTGTGTGGAGATCTGCAGTTCGGCTATGTGGCGCCTAAATTGCTGCACGTAGCTACATTAATTTTTTTATTACTTTTGTATTTGGCTGCGTGCTACGGCGCCGGACTCGGCCCTAGTTCCCTGCCCCCAGCGGCCGCATGCGGGCTGCTATCATAAACAAACGCAAGACAAACGAATTAGCCCAGCAACAACAATAACAACTATAACAACAAACAATCGCAACAGCAACTACACAACTTTTGCCGAATTACCGTGCATAGTTTGCGTTAAGAGACGCTGTCGAAACGTTATCGAGGCGTTTATCTCGACCACTGGAAGAGAACGTTAATATATATATATATATATATAAATATATATATATGTATATATATAAATATATATATATGTATATATATAAATATATATATATGTATATATATAAATATATATATGTATGTATATATAAAGAACTATGATATGTAGTTGGTAATGCAACATAAAATATATTTTTATAGCATTTATTATTTTTATCCTAAATAATATCCTTTCTATCGTAACTTAAATATTTATTGTTTGGTTGTAGGTTAAGTGCTTCTGTATACATATATGTACGTAAACATAATTTATTTAAACCTGCAGTTGTAGATAGGAAAAGCGAGGATGAAACTCTTATCTGAAGTCATATGAATCAGTTAATTTTAAATAAATACTAGGTTGCGATCCTATTTTTTGTCCTATGCTGTTCTATACCAATTATATTGAAAATCAAAGTATCGAAGCCTCTGTAGATCGTCAAATATCCATAGTTTTATTTAGGTAAGAGCTTCTCGATTCAATTAAGTTTAAAAAAAAGTCTGCATGTGTCAATCACACCGATGAAAATGACTTTATAGAGCCGTCAAAGCTAGGCTCATCTGTTGCCCTGTGTCTTGTGCCATTATTGGACAAAACATCTGCTTCCAAAATCATTCGCTTGAAAACTGCAGTTACCTCAGCCTTGTAACTAAAGAGCTCAGAAAAACTATCAAATTTCTCACACCTCCACACAGAGTGAACAACAATCGGCAACAGTTACAACAAATAGCCGCAGTTAAGTACCTAAAAGCTTGCACAACGCCAAGGCACCGTCCCACTTCCCCTTCCAACAGGCAAGCACCTCTGGCTCCAGTTCGAGTTGCAGTTCCCATCCCAACACGCTCGCCCACAACACACAAAGCTGAACAATAATTTTGTTGTAATGTAATACCAAAAATTGTATTTGCTTAGCTGATGACGTTAC